CACATATATCCGATAGTCTGATTAGAGGTCCAACAGTCTGATTAGATTTAATCTTTTCTTTCTCGCACTCATAAACTTTAATGCAATCATTTTTTATTGTGTTTCTTGAAACACTTTGAAAGTTAGGATTCAACATTTTTAACAATATGTTGAACCAAGTATGTTCAACCATCATGAATGGATACTCATGTACAATTATCATTTTTTCAATCACCTCTCTTATGATTTGTTGATCATAATTCTTAGGATCATAGAAAATAGGAATCTCTGAATCACCCTGAACTTCTGAAGGCAAGAAGTTCAGTAACTTTTGTCTCTTGTATGAGAAGTCAACTTGTTGTTGACTCTTTGTTTTTATCTTAGCACATTCCTTAACATGCCTAAGAAGTTGAGAGGTTGTACCTGACTTGGGTTTAAGTATTTTCACCCCACAGCAAACACATTGAACATATGATACTTCGACCCCCTCAGAGTTTGATTTAACATCTATAAAATACTCCCACACAGTTGATTTCCTCTTCCTGCCTTTCGTAACTTGTATTTCAGTACTAGTGCTCCCAACAGTCAGTTCAATAGGTTGAGAACTACCAATTTCTTCTTGTGTTGCAAGTGGCAATTGTTCGTCATTTGATACTGACTGAGAATGCTCAACATTTGACATTGTAAATATCTATACAAAATATAATATCAAAAGATAATCAAGTTAAAAAAGATGTGCAGGCAAAAAAATAAATTGGAAACAAAAACATGAGACAAGTTAATCAAGTTAAAAAGATGTATTTCAAATCAAAAAAAACTTATCATTACAAAAATTAATAATCAAATTACCTATGCATGCAGCATCAAAATTTAAACAATAAAATGATCAAACATACAAAACATTAAACGAATAAAAGCTAATCATATGAATCATAAATTCAAAAAAAACAAAATAAAAAAACCCCCTCTCTATGAATAAAAGCTAATCATATGAATTAAATTTAATTAAATATCTTAACAATAACAAA